GTGTGTACCTATTGAGTGAGAGGCTAACACTGTAACCTCTAGACCACGAGAGCCCCCGCCTGCTATAGTAACACGTAATTGTGGGAAGCAAGACCAACTAAACATCAAATTAACTCGGACAAAAACTTAAAAGAGAAAAATAGTAACATAGGCCACAGAACAGAGTTGCTCTTGTCTTACTCTTTTCTCAGTTGTGTGAATTTAAATTCTCCTGTGAAGTAAAAACAAACTCATAGAAAGAGAACACATTTAAACAAAATTATTTATTACTCCAAAATGTACAAAGAGTTAATACATGTAGGTTTGGAACGTTCTTCTTCTTTCACTTTGACCTGCTGTTTCTATTTCCATCCATCAAATATTTTTAAATGTTTTGATTTGATACAGCATTGCGCCAGTTTTGTCAAGAGGCAGTTTTCCTTTGTAACAACCGAGCACTCTAAGAGAAGAAAAGGTGGAGGTGGTGAGGAAAAGACCAGCAGCCAAGCGACCTATCTTTGTTTGATTCTTTGTTCTGAGGAACGCCATATCAAAACAGATTTGCTATTGGGGAATGTAATGAATAGCAGGAGTCGGGTGACACTTCTGGAAAAAAATTACTTTTGTCCCTTTACTCTGAAAAAAAAAATATAGGCCTAAAATTAGCACAACGGTTGGGTATACAATTGTGCTTATAACACAAACACACCATCTCACATACGCAGAATATAAGAATGTGCATCCCGGTCTTGCAAAGTTGTTTGTCAAGAAGCAATACATACACCGGCACGCATGATGCGGGGGAAATTTTGAAATTCGTTAAGAAGAAGAAACCAAGCTTACAAATGTGGTAGCATCAATATAAATAGAGTGGAGTATTAGGATATGAAGTAAAATTTTGAAAATTCTTTTGTGTTGCCCTGGCAACGGCTGCCATATTGGAATGTCATATATAGAAAAAATACACAATTCTAAAAAATCTATCATAAGGTTATAAATGATTTTAAAATATTATAACAAGGGGTTTTGTAGCCTTCTGTGGCTGTTTTAGTGGATGAACTTGGTATTTTGATGTAGGAAGAAAAACATTTTTCAGAATCGAGGTCCAAACTAAGGAAATATTTTGACCACAAAAACCTCAGATCATAACAACGGATTAAACTTATAATAAAATCATTTATTCAAGATGTGTTTTTTTGACGTCACTACTTATTACACTAGAATAATGATTCATCTATCAGTACACCAACAATTATGAAGATATCTTAACAACTTTTCGAACGATAGATTTTTTGCGTTCCCACCCCCTGTGCGTGAAAGAGCCCATTTTGAGAAAAAAAGCCCTTAAAGTTTTGACGTGCAAAACTTACTGTAAGTTGCGTCCAAAAGAAATGTGAAAATGTAATCACCCAGTCATCGCGTGAAAGCCTTGCATTACCCATTCATGCAGCATACCAATGTAAAGCTAAATAAATTTTTCATCATCTGACACATTAATATTTAATCTATTTTAAAAGACATCCGATATATGGTCACTCAAAATTGACCTTAAAAAAATCAGGCTTGACAAAATTGTGCGAAATCAAAGGAACGTAAAATTGTTTTTGCGCATTTACTGAAGAGTATCAATATTGATCGAATGGCAATATATTGCATGCTCAGTGAATGGAGAATTTTGTCTTTGCAATAAACAATATTTTATTACGATATTTTGTCACGATAGTTTCAAACCTAACGGAAAACAGAGCAATCACAAATACCACACAAAACTTGGACTCAACAATAATTGTGTTCATTGTTATTTTGGTTAGGA